ATGCGTATTCCTTCTGCCAATGTCATTAAAATTATTTGGCGTGTTTTGCTTCAAATGCTGTTTACTTTTTTTGCGGTTTGAGGAGTGTTTCTTTGTGTAAAATTAAAATAAAAGTGGAGACAAATGGATTCAGTGCCGATCATTTTTGATTCTGATTCGTCATCATTGCCGTCGTCTGACAGTGTTGATGAACTTGAAGCAGTCACTCCCAACCTATTGTGGTTATAGTTACTGACAAATGTTCTCTTCGCACAGTTATTTTCTTTGTTGCCGTGGTCCTAGGTTCACGCAGTTCGGGTTTTGGCAAAATTGTGATAGTTCACGGACCGTTCATAACCGCTCCAGAGATCTTACCCTTTACGCATTCAGTCTTGCGCAGTTCCAGAACTGTTCTGTGACAGTACTGAATTTAGAACTCGAAAATAGCTATTAAGTTCATTGAGATTGCCAGGGTCGGATTAGTTACGAAATATGGCTGCAAAATAATGATGCAACAATAATATTTGTATGAAGTCTAGAAGACGTATTTTTAATTTGATACGCATCTAACTGCATCCCGACAAAGATGATCGCCAGGGCTCTGGATGTCGAGTTATCGTATCGTGGCTGGCGCTTATGGCATGATTGGTTCAGCACCGTTGCCAGGTAGTGGATACTTAGGGCAGGTAAGAAACTAGCCTTAGCGTTATCGACTGGGTGGGGACTATGGAGTTCGGACTAATTGTATATATGCCTATATGGCTGATTTGACCCATTAAGTCTTATTGGTATACATCTTTGTAGCTAGCCCAAAGCGACTAACTTGGACGGAACATAATCCTTTATGAACTGATGACAGCGTGGCGTAGAAAGTGCAGTCAACCTACATGACGCCATTTTTTATACGAAGTATACTTCTAACACCATTTTTTGTATTCTATGTGCATCCAAGAAATCGCTGCTTCATTCAATGATACGCTGTATGTATTTTACATCGTTTAATATATTATGGAAATTTTATGGTACATCGGGTCTCAAACTATTCTTAAGGTCCCAGGAGAGTGATGGAACTTGTAATGACGTATACACTGAGATCCAAATTTATCTGACGGCTTAAGTTCAATGTGTTCGTGAGAGAATTGTGTATAGACACATACGTTAGAAGGACATAGAATTACTAAATCAAACGAACTTACCTGTAATGAAGTTCGATTGTAATTATATGAAGTCCTCGTGAAGTAAATAAGAACAAACGTAGTCTCTCTATTCCACACCGTACATCACGAATTTTTAAAGTAAACAAACCGCCCCGTCCGCTACCCCGCTACCCGGCCACGTCGGTGGTACCGTCGTGTGCATGTCTCATTATTCAAAGATCTGTCTGCAGTTGATGCAATTAATAATAGGGAAAAATAAAACGGGGAGGGAGGGACTTATTTACTTCACGAGGACTTCATATAATTACAATCGAACTTCATTACAGGTAAGTTCGTTTGATTTAGTAATTATATTTCGTCCTCGTTCCGTAAATAAGAACAAACGTAGATGTTTAAAGCAAATAATTGTGCAACTGCAGACGAAACAAAAAATTTTAGGCTCTATAAGAGGAAAATAAGAAGTTCCAAAATCTTATTTTAACGAATATAATTCGAATAAGAAACACATTCGAAATACTGGTATGAATTCAACAGCGGAAGAACAACATTAACATTATATAATAGTAAACATAAAACATAACATTATAACATCAAACAACATTAAACTAGGGAATAACCCTAAGGTATTTAAGAAAACAGAGTAACTAGTTAAATATTTAGCTAGTTCCTAAACTCAGAAATAGTTTACAACACTGGCATAATTTATCATAAGGAATAACTAAGGAATACTATTGTTAAGTGAAAATAATAATTAGTTATGTAGCTGGTTGATCTAATATGACCCTCGCATAAGCATAAGAATCACAAACCGGTCTCTTATAGAAGTTTGCAAATGTTTTTGAATGTCCGGTCCAACCAGCAGCTGACCTAATTATATCTATTGATACACCTCTACGATCCGCTAAGGAAGTAGATGCATGTCTTGTTGAATGAGATGCAAATTTAGAGGTATCAATACCAGCTTTAATTAAAACATTTCGAATCCAACGTGAAAGTGTTTGTGATGAGGCATTATGGTACGGTCTTTTAAAGGTGATTAAGAGCCTGTTACATACAGCATTTCTTACATCCTTCGTTTTTTCTATATAAAATAGGAGAGTGCTGGCGACACAAATATTTTCATCGCTTCTGAAAAAGGGTAAAGAAATAACAGGCTGGGCTTTACCTGGCCCAGAGGTTTTTATACGATCGCGAATAAATATCTGAACGCCTTGGGATGAAGATTTTATGTCATCAAGTTGAATAAGAGAAAGCGTTTGAACTCTTTGAGCTGAGGTAAGAGCTAACAATGTTGCTAATTTATATGATATTTGCTCTAGTGTGCAATCTCCATTAGTTAGTGTTCGCAAATAATCTAAGACAAGTGATGGATCCCAGATATTTTGATACTTCGGCAAACTAGGTCTCAAATGAAATACACCTTTAAAAAACCGTTTTACGCGAAAATCTTGTGCTAATGAGGGGCCTAAAACCTGGGCTAAAGCGGATCGATGGGAATTGAGTGTACCATATGACGCTCCCTTATTATATTCTTCCTGCAAAAACTCGAGGACAGTCGCAATTGAAGCAGTGAAGCAACTCTCATTTCTGGATTTACAGAATTGATACCATCGCTTTAAACCGGAATCATATTGTTTAACAGTAGATTCTGTAATTGAAGCAAGGCAGACCTCAATTGCAGACTTCGGCGTTCCTCTTAATTCTAAACCCTGCCGGATAAGAGACCTGCAACCAGGATAAGTTGTGGCCATAAGGGATATGTCTGAGATCTGTCAAAACATAAAAGGACATCTTTACTAGCCGGAAAATAAATTGGTGGCTTTTTAAGAAGAGATGTAAAAATGGGGTACCAAGGCTGTGTAGGCCAATGCGGCACAACTACTATACCTTGGGCCCTGTCTCTAATGATTTTATGCACAACTTTAAGTATTATTGAAAAAGGGGGGAAGGCATAAAAATGATAAGTACCCCAATTGACAGTAAAAGCGTCCACTTTGAATGCAAGAGGATCAGGATGCCACGAAATAAAAATTGGACATTTAGAGTTAATGCGACTAGCGAAAAGATCTATTTCTGGGATTCCAAATCTTGAAACAATTTCTCTGAAATATTTGTCGTTCAACTCCCATTCCGTCTCAGGATGTAACCTACGTGATTCTATGTCTGCAATTATGTTATCCTTACTGTTAATGTAAGACGCATATATAAATAAATTTTTGCTTTCACACCACTGCCAAATCTCACGACACAGTGAATTTAATTTAAAATATTGAATGCCTCCCATTCGATTTATATAGGCAATGGCTGTAGTATTATCAATGCGTAAGAGAATATTTTGGTTAGAAAGATGACCGGCACAACATTTTAAACCAAAAAATGCTGCCTTTAATTCTAAATAATTAATGTGTTCTTTCCTTTCTTCTAAGGACCAAAAACCATGAGATCTAACATTATTACAAAATATTCCCCAGCCCGTTAAGCAGGCATCTGAAAAAATTTCCAATTGGAAAAAATCCAACTTAATAGAGTTGGTACTATCATTTTCTATATGCGATAGCCACCACCTGAGATCGTTATATAACAGTGGAGAAATAGCCATAGTTCTATCATAATTTCCATCTGTTCGCTTCAAGGCTAAAAATTTTTCTCTTTCCATTAATTTAGTATACAACCATCCATAACGAACAGCCGGGCATATAGAAATTAATTTTCCGATTATTTTGGCGAAAAAGCGTATCTTACAGCGCGTATTCCTTAAAAGATATCTAACATATCTTAGAAGTGAATCTTTCTTATCCTCCGGTATAGAAATTGACATATCTTGAGAATCATAAGTAAACCCTAGATATCGAACAGTCTTTGACGGAGTTATAACACTCTTTTGATAATTTATAAGAAAGCCCAATTTCTCTAGAAAATTGATAGTTAAGGAAACATTTTTCTGGCATTCATCAAAAGTTCTTCCCAATAATAAAAAATCATCAAGATACAGCACCGAAAGTAAGCCTTGTCCTCTAAGAAATGAAAGGACAGGTTTCATTAATTTGGTGAATACAAGAGGGGCACAATTGAGGCCAAAAGGTATGCAATTATATTCAAATAATTCACCATCAAACCTGAATCTTAAAAACTTCTTATAATGTTTATTAATGGGAACTAAATAGTATGCATGCTTCAAATCCAGGGTGGACATGAAATAATTTTCCTGAATAATATTGCATACTGTTCTTTGGTCTTCAAGCTTAAAATGTTCTGCTTTAATAAAGTTATTAAGAGATTTTAAGTTTAAGATTAAACGCTTTGAACCATCAGTTTTAGGAACTAGGAAAATACTTGATATGTATTCTCCTTTATAATGTGTGACTTTTTGAATAGCGCCAGAGGCTAATAACTCTTGAATTGATTCTCTTAAGGCTGACTTCTCTGAATTTGACCAATGCCTCTCCAAGGGTCGTACCTTTTGGATTGGTCTGGTGACAAAAGGAATTTTCAAACCAGAAATCCATGATAAAATATTTTTATCTTTAGTAATTTCTTGCCACATAGGTAAATAATTACGTAATCGACCAACTGTGCAACCCACCTCGCTCTGATCTATCGATTCTGTTTGTGGTATTGACGTACATCCTGTCGGCGACGACGATCCTGGTCCGAGGTTCTTCTCTGTGTTTGATGAGGCCTTTTTTGGAACGACTGAGAGGGATTTGGGATCTTTATCGGCCGCCCACCTCGAATGTTTCCCCTTTGTGTTTGACGAGGTGGACGGTAAAAGTTTTCCGGAACCTGTTTGGCAGGTTGTTTAAATGAGGTACTAGGTCTAGATACTCTAGTAGGTTTCAGGTCCAAACCAGATTTTTCAATATCCTTGGTAGCTTTTATTCGCTCACCGAGATCCTTGCCGAACAACCATCCGTCAGCAGACACATTAGTCAGAGTTTCTTTGAGATCTTTCCGTAAATTCAGTATCAATAAATCTCTACGGATTACCGAGTATTTGTGATAAAAATCTAAAAGTAATCTACTAGCATCACTAGCTAATTCAACATAAGCCAGGTCCCCCCCCCCCCTTCTTCAGACACAACTGCTGATGCGAGTTGACCCAATGCTGACAGTGCAGCTCCTATTTGGTTCTGAAGCCCATTGAGGTTTGAGTCTCTACGAGCTACTTGTTCATTAATCGCTGAGGCAACTTCTGGATTTATACGGGGGCATTTTAAAAGTGGGCAGTTTTCAGGAGGGGGATATTTTTTGAGCAAGGTATTGACGGAGGCCTCGCTTAACCCGTTGCTTAAAATAAATGACCATCTGCTAGTTAGATCCACATGAATGCTTGGTCCAAGCACGTCTGCAGATGGCTTTTCATCTCCCAGAAGAGCTAGTATACTAGCATCTAGAATTGAACTTCCCCCATCTGTAAGAGAGGAACCATATTATATAATAAACGGTCGTAGATCTAAAATATGCCATAATATTTCAGAAAACTGATAACCAATAATTATGTGAAACAATACCATAATTGTACTGGATTGTCATGGCAATTTTGTGTAAAATATGTCATAATATTTCAGAAAACTGATAACAAATATGTGAAACAATACCATAATTGTACTGGAGTGTCATGGTAATTTTGTGTAAAATATGCCATAATATTTCACAAACAATCAAAGAAGTGCAGGGAAAATACACCATAGTATTTTCGAAAAATTGACAGCACAACTTGTAAAAAATACCATGCAAGGAAAATACACCATAGTATTTTCAAAAAATTGACAACAAATCTTGTAAAAAATACCATAATTATTTACAAAATAAAGTGTCATGATAGGTATTATTTGTAATGTAAAATATGCCATAATATTTTACAAAATTAAATCTAATGATTCGTAGATTCCCATCATGCCAAATTGTTCCAAAATACTCTCAATTCAGTACTAATTTAATTCAAAACAAAACCTTCAATTGGAGTGGTGTTGGTTATGCATGAGCCGGCAACCTCGGAATCCACGGCATCAGCATTCCTGGCCGCAAAAGCTGATAACGGCACATCGTCGTCGTCTGAGTGATCGGGCGTGGTAAAAACATCACTCTGGGGGGATGGAGAACGGTGAGACCTTCTGCCCTTTGAATGGTGCTTCTTCAACCGCTTCTTCAATCTTGCAATTTTCCAAATGATATAATCATCACTGTCCGAGTCACTAAAATCAGGTCTCTTGCGCTTTTCTGACATCGCAAACAAAAAACTAGGCGGAGCACTATTATACGAAATTTCGGTCGGCAACGAAACGCGTTGTACGGCACGAAAACAGAGAATGAGACATGCACACGACGGTACCACCGACGTGGCCGGGTAGCGGGGTAGCGGACGGGGCGGTTTGTTTACTTTAAAAATTCGTGATGTACGGTGTGGAATAGAGAGACTACGTTTGTTCTTATTTACGGAACGAGGACGAAATATAATCCGGTTGTATAGCGAAGCCCATCATGGGGTTGCCTAGCAACACTGACGCGGCAATCTGTCGCGTTGCCAATATGTTACATCAGTTCTGTGAATTAAGATGCATGTTGAAAATATGCGTTAGTTTATCATCTACGCCCAAATAATAGTTTTATTTTGAACGTACACATTTTTGAATTGTGAAGAATCTGTTTAACAGCGATTCCGGATCGGTCCTAACGGCGCTTTATTTTAGGTCTTAATGAAAGATCAGATCAGGATCGTCACAAATTCTGCAAGATTGCATTGATTGGTTCGCTTGGCAACACCGCATCTCGTACATTCCAAGGTAAGGTTTCCACCTCCATGATCATAGATGGGCGATTTTGGTCGGTACCCATCTAGCGCTGATTGGGGAGTGTCGTCCTGCTTCGAAATCGTTTTCACCTGTTTAAAGGTGTTGTCTACATTTTCCGCACGCTCGCTGCCGCAAAATGTCACAATGACTCAGGATGTGTTGATTTTATCACCATCGGTGGCAATCAAAGATAATTCTAAAATAAATTAAAACACTAAGTCGCGTCAAAATTGAAATAAACAATTCTACTCAAAATAAAAACAAAATATTTAATTGAATGTTCTAACCGACCTCCTTCTTGGTTTTGGATTTATTCTATTCTGTGCGAACATTTTCTCGTGTAAAACATTGGCAACGCGGCAAATTACACGACCTTCTGCGTCATCGTTGCGAGGCAATGTGGTGATGACTTTCGCTCTTCAGCCGGTTTCTCTTTCTAATACGTATTGATACACACTTCTCGTGCTTTTCTCTTGTACATTGAACTCAAGCTGTTAAACAAATTTTCCCTGTACAGCGCAAAATAGCGACGCAGAAAATAAATGTCTCCCACGTTTGGCCACGTGATATTAGGCCCATTGTAATGCTTCTTTTTAGTACACAGAGCGCATTCTCGATATTTATCTTAAACATTCTACCATATTTTATATTTTATTTTAAGTTACGTATCTGGTTCTTAACACTTACAAGTGTACTGTTGCAATGTCAATTAGAAGTGTGAAATACGATAATGTTTATACTGAACATGATTTTGTGTAACTGTATTATTTGATTATTTGTTTAGGACGCCTAGTTTGTGAGTTTTGATTACACAACTAAAATATACACTCTTCCAGACTATAGGCTTCTCGTTCCGCCTAAACAAACATTAAATAAGCCTTAATTGCCACCGCTTTTTTGATTGTGCGACCAAGAATCCCTAAAATAAGCACAATTATCCAAACATTTACATTGCCATGTTCTTTTGCTCGAAATTCTTTATATCGAACCGACTTTTCAGGTCAATAACTTGTTCACACATTTACATGGGCATGCAAGAGAAGCTAAGGCTGCCACACACTTTCCAAATTTAATTGCAATAGTTAAGGCCATGAGTTCATACGTTAGCATGTCGTCTACGGATACATAAGATGAAACTGAGAATATTTGTCCTAATGCTTCCTTCAGCCATGCTTCCTCTTCAGTGATTTCTCCTTCCCGAATACGTGACAAGGAGGGACAGTTGAGTATTCAAGCAAAAGAAATTGTCCTTAACGTTTATAAGAAAAAATTTTTAGAGCATCCTGTTGGATACAGTTGATAACTTTGATCGGAATGCTATCAGACGCAAAATCCATCAATTTTTTGAAACGCAGGAACTTACCACCATAGACAAACTATTACAGGAGGTTAATAGTGATGAAGACTTACCTACTCTCAAAAGGACCACATTCTATAGTTGACTCGAAGGACTTCATTTTGAGTATAGAACACGGGGCAGAAATAGTATTTTGATGGACAGCCAAAAGATTCTTTTATTTTATGGAGAAGAAATTATCAAAAACCAATAAAGAAATACCGCGACCAGGGCAGGAAGATTTATTACTTGGATGAAACCTGGATAAATGCAGAACATACAAAACCTAAAGTATGGGCCGACTCTACAATCAACAACACAAGCCTTCTTAGATGGACTAACCAGTGGCCTAACGAATCCGTCAGGTACGTGTATGTAACCAGTTCGTCATTTGTGTTAGCTATATCTGGTAGATTTGGAACAAACACCTGTTAGATACTCTGCTTGTATTATTATGTTTTCTTGAATACGTTTGAAGAAACGCTCCCAAAGCTTGACGACAATGCCGTCATCGTAATTGATAATGCTGCATACCACACTAAAAAACTAGAAAAAATTCCCACAATGTTCCCAAGAAAGGCAGAAATTCAACAACGGCTCCTTTTATATGTCAATGTCCTTAGCAATTCTTTTATAAATTTGTTTGAGGATGAAACATTAATTTCAGTTAGTGATTCAGTAAGTAACGAAATTGTAGATGTAATGAATAGTGCAATGAGCAAACATAGTTTATGGTTAAAAACAAACAATATTAAATCAAATGTGAGAAAAACGAAATGTATGACTATAGGTTCGAAGAATAATTGCAAGAAATTGGTGGATTTAAATATGCCAGTGAAAATTGAGGGAGAGGTAGGTACTTGATTTTGTAGATAGTTTTAAGTATTTAGGTATTATAATAGATCAGCAACTAACTTTCAACAAACATGTTGACTATATGTGATGGAAATTAGGCAAAAAGATAGGGTATTTTCGTAGAATTTGTGAGAAACTAAGTCCCTGGTGCAGATGGGTAGTCTACAATACAATAATTTTTCCTCATTTTACCTATTGTGTATCACTTTTGATTACACATTGCACAAATGACCAAAAGCAAAGGTTGCAAATTTTGTTAAATTGTAGCAGGTATACCCATATAAAGGCATTAAATACACCAAATTATTCGAGAGGCAAATTTAATTCTTTTATATAAAATTATCAATAATCAGGCTCCACCTTATCTTGAACAGTTTCTGAAAAAAAGATGTGAAATGCAAGGTTACGACATTAGATCAAAAGAAAATTTCCATATACAAAGATTTAGATTTAAAGGTTTAGAAAAAGTCAATGTTTGTTGAAGGTCTAAGAATGTACAACAATCTGGCTATTTTAAGGCTACCCCCCCACCCCTTACCACTGCGAATTAAATCCCATTGAAATGACTTGGGCAAATATAAAAAACTATGTGGCTTCAAACAATAGAAATTTACTGGCGTGAAAAATTTGTTTTATGAAGCTGTCAACAGAGTGGCGGCAAACCATTGGAAATATTGCATCCGTCACGTTGAAGAGACAATCGAAACAAAGATGTGGGATCTGGAGAATATGATCGATATTTAAATTGAACCTGTCATAATTAATATGAACCATTCGGACGACGATTCAGTACTTCTAGCGAATAAAGAATTGTGAAAAGTATGTGCACTTCTTCCATTGTGGAAAATACGGACTTGTACAGTATCGCTTTTGGGCATGTTGTGTTGTGTCTGGACGTAAACGGACTAGGAATGGCGTATAGGCACGATGACACATAGCGTAAGCCACTGCTAATGCGGTGTGCCTTTATATCGGTAAAGTTAGCAGCTGTGAACGGTGTGCTATATGCAAAGAATGTAAAATATCATGCTTTAATTGGAACATCTGAAATTAAGCTAGTATACTCCTGTGGCGTGCTCCTTTCCCAACGATCACTACAAATATCAACAAATCTCTATATATTATGTAACTCGTATAAAAATATGCCAATACCCTTTGTATTGCTACATACACATTATAACACATTTTCATGAAGAGATATCCTAAACATTTGAAGAACAGCATAAAACAACAGTTTTTAGTGGTTCCTGAAAATTGTGTCACTCTCCCCTGGCGTAATTGAAATTACATACATATGTTCGCGTGAATGTGACTTTTTCGCGATTTGACCTTTATCAATTCGTAGTGTATCAAGAACTGATACTTTGAAACTAGTGCGATTCGACCTACTTAAACCAGGAAACCGTCAGTTGTACGTAGTGTCGATTCTTGAACATAAAAGTAATGAATTGCATACAATAATAATGTGTCTTAATTATTTTCAATGTCAGGTACGGTTTTGTCACTGCCCTGGCGTCTCTTTTCTGGCAGTTTTTGCGATAATTGTTTTTTCTACTGTTATTCTTTTCTACTTTCTATTTTTAGTCATTTTTTACTATAGAAAATATTTTAAACGATTAGACAGAGCAACGGCTGCGACCCACTATCAAAAAAATTTCCACACTCAACTTCCAAACACAATCCTTACCCTGAGGGACTGTGAACTGTAGAATATTCTGTTTCAAACCCGTCGGAGCTGAATACTTGTTATTTATAATAAAGATACATATTGAACTTATTTATCTGATGACATTTACATCACGTGTCAAGTATCTTTTTCATAGTGTAAATATTACCCCCCTAGCCACAGATTTTCCCCTGGTACGTGTAAAAGCTGTCAAAATTAAAATGACGCAATGATTATGGAAACAAAATGAGCGATTTTTCTTAGTTTACACCGAATACCCAAATATCGTATATTCTCCATATACTATTTCTTTTCGGTACCTGACTATATTTTAGAGATATCTTCGAACTCATCTCCAGATTTTCTTTAATTGCCTGGGAACCTCTGATCTGCTTGAATTTCTTCGGATGTGCTCCACAAGTATACTGCTGCTTGGTTACTTCCGAGCTTGGTCAGTTGCTGTAACAAAAATGTTAACAAAATTAGCCGATTCATGTCATGGCAATGTTTCAAGCGCGTCTGAGCATTTCCTCGCAGCTACCTAAAACATATTTTATGATAGGTATTTGTGGAATTGTATTCTTTCAAAGTAGGTTATGCAATAATAAATCGGTGAGTTTGGAGATTCTCCAAACCTGCTTTCA